ACTGCTAATGGAAAATCTCGGATCAAAGGCTTGAGAGGTACATGCGCACCTGAAGTGGTGCGCCCATAGGGACCCTACTTGAAGAATTATTAGTGCCTCCTCAGAACACTGATCCACTCCATCCAGCGTCCCATCTCCAATTGTGGCCAATCTCTGATGCTTCAGTGGAAGGAGACAAAAAAAGGCAGGGGGGTGTGTGTAAATTCCTTCCTGACCCCTACTGAAGCCCCACAGCATGAGGTTTTAGGAACATAAATCTTGAACCAGAAGGGACCCTCAAGGCTATTGTGCTTAGCCCCCACATCAGTGCCAGCAATCCTATCATACAAGCCCATATATTTATCAAGCTCTATCTTAAAACTAATTAGGTTGTTCATCCCTAAGTACTAATCTGATACAAGTCTTTTTAGCTTGTGAAACCTGACATGCATGAGACAAGAGTGGGCATGCCAAATTTTTACACTGCTTTGTATACAGAACTAGTATTGTAACAGGTAGTTTTTATATTGTGTAGTTTTCCCCTACCCATGTTCCAATGGTTAATTACCCTCACTGTCAAAAATTTACACCTTATTTCCATTCTGAATTTATCTAGTTTCACCTTCCAGCCATTGGATCATGCTATACCTTTCTCTGCTAGATTTAAGAGCCTATTTGTTCCACATGTAGATACTTATAGACTGTAATCAAGTTACCCCTTAACTTTCTCTTTGTTAAGCTAAATAGACTGAGCTCTTTGAATCTATCACTATAAGGCATGTTTTCCAATCCTTTAATCATTCTCATGGCTCTTCTCTCCAATTTATAAACATCCTTCTTGAATTGTGGGCACCAGAACTGGACCCAGTATTGCAGCAGCAGTCGCACCAGTGCCAAATAGAGGTAAAATAACCTCTATTCCTGGTCGAGATTCTATTTGTGCATCCCTGCCTCAACCAAGTCTGAACCAGTTCTTGAAGCTACCAATGCTTTTTTTCCCAACAGGTCGATTCTGTTCCCATTTGCTTTTCTCTCACTCTCATCTCTAGTTCCTGTTATTCCTTATTGTCTATATTCTCCTTCCCTTCATTTCTCTCTGCTCTTCTCACCCATCCATCCAGTTCCTTGCTTGTAAAACTGTAGTAAAGCCTCACCCAGTTTTTATTTATAGCCACTATCCCAAAAAGTAGTAGCAGAGCACTACTCTAATCTGTTCTGACCTCACTATACCCACTAATAACTTGGGTTGTGGATAACTCTCTCCACTTATCTTTACAGTACAGAAGTTGTAGTGTGAGTCCAGTTTCACCTACAGCAGTGATTCTTAAACCTTCATAGTATGGGCCATTGAACACCAATCCATTCATAGATCAAAAGTGGTCCACAGGATAGAAACTTTGTGGCAATTTATGTGCAGGACTACATGAAAAATATTAGTACAGACTAAAGCAAAACTGAAAATAAACTCACTAATGTAGTTCATGTAGCTCCAGAGGTTAGTAAAAATGTCTGTCACTTGAATCTACATTATTGTGCAGTCTCATTCAACAGCCAGTGTTGAAGCGGAGTACATACAAAGACTTTAATTAATTAGTATTGGGGCCAGAAGCTTATGTATAGTTCTCTCTACTTCCCTGTGGAAAATTAGTTTGGTTCTTGGTCCTGTAATCTTGCTCCATGGCTATTCTATTCTTTCTCCAATTGACTGAGGAGTGATTCTGACTCCAAAGAAAGGGCTGGTCACAACTTTTGAACGAATCCAGGGGGGAAAGATGTGAATCTGAGATAGCAAGGATTACCATCCAACACATTGTATTTCATACATGTTTAATAAAGGTACTCATACTAAAAGACGACAGTTCTATAAATCTAATTTGATAAGTGAATACGCCATTGTAGGGTCTAATCTCTTTTAATACGCTTGGGAAAAATGTATTTAACAGCTAACTATGAAGCTAAATAAGCTAGCCTCTCACTTCTGGAGGTTCAAATTTTGATTGATACAAGTGAAATGGACTCCTTGTATATTTATTTGCCCACACTATAAATCCAGACAAGTTTCATACTCTTCAATTTAAACTGTACTTGAAAAGTCAGTTACACTTTTTTGGCAGGGGATAGCAGTGAGGGCTTCAGGCTGGGAGACCATCACATGACATTTCAGTTTAGAGTGAATGGTTATAACTAAGTTACATAACCTTGTAAAACAGGGTTTATAATAGAAATGTTGGCATCGTTCTAACTACAATGGAACAAGGAGGCAACATTTAATCTACTTGGATCCACTTCCACGCTCAGTACATACCAAGTCACATGCTTATGTTCCATTTCATGATCAGAAACAAACTGCTGCTTTACTTTAATTTTTGTAAGTTGTATACTACGACAGTGTTATAGAAAAATAAATTACTTTTCCAAAATATCACATTTGGGGTTTAAGATTAAGTAGATGTGCTTCAATAAGCAAGAAAAATGAAGTAGATCATGCAAACAAAATGTTAGTAAATTACTGTAATAAAATGTATCATGTCAACCTTTGAAGGTAGAACATGTTTTGGAGATTGTCTCTAAATCTTAGTTTTATCAGATTAATACTTTAGATTACTTTTGTTATGTTATACTCTGCTGTAAGCAGTCTGTGCTAATTTTGATTCTATTACAGGAGAAAAGTCTGTGTTTGTCCCTGTGGCGCTTGTGCTACTTTAAAGCACTTATAAAAATAGCATAATCACTGTACAGTATTCCCACACAGCATACTTTAAGCTACTGCGTAACCTCTACTCAAGATATTGAAGCAAAGTCTATTTTTGAAGGAGGTGAGCTTCACACTTTGTAAGGGGACGAGAGAGAAACTCATTACAAGTGTTTTAGCTCCTAATCATCCAAAATATGAGCTATTCATAATCTAAAAAGCTTCTCTTTAAGGTTCATATTACAGTACTTTAATAGATTATGTTGTACTGTCTCAATGTGTGGTAAGATATTATCAGAACAGGATTACATTCAAAACTGCAGTATTAACCTGCAGGAGGAGGAGGAGATCTAACATTTCCTTTCATCTTAGAACAAACACAAACAAAAACATTTTCTTTGTATGCATAGCCAGAGTTCTGAAACCTTTCAGTTACCTGTTAACCTATACTCAAGTCTCCAGTTCAGCACCAAGTAATGCTAAGAAGTTTGAGACATGTAAAAAATTAACACATCCTTTACATTTCCTCTTTACACATTTTTGGACATTTTAGCTCAATTTCTGTAATTAACCTCTAGGAATCAAAAGTAGTCACACAAGTATCTTTAGAAAAGCAACTGCCAATAGAAATATTCTTAGCAGAAAACACACACAAGCGTTTAATGCAATTTTTTTAATAGTGCAAAACTTACATAAACAGTGATTTTTACTAGCACATTGAGTAGGAAAAACAAGGGCTATTTAGAGAAATTTTCATGTTTGGCATAAAACTTTTCTCCCCTTCCTTACATCCTTAGATGTGACAAACTGGAGCGCCCTACATTAATGCTATTGAAAGTATTAACAATTTGTTCCACCTTTTACTGGTTAGAAAAGAGACACCATATATTTTGGTGTCACATTCTGTACGTAATTGCAAATGTTCAGCTGAGTTCAGTTAATCAATGCAAATTAGACTGATAATTAAGGAAAAAAACTATTCACCAACAAGGCATTCATTAACCAATCAGTCATGCTGCCATTTAATTTATGACCTATGTACAAAAATGTATGTGGTGTTCTGTATCTCCATTTTGAACACCGAATTTTAGAAAATACTGTTCTGTTTTATATAAATCTGGATTTGCTAATTAAAGATGCTATTTATTGCAATTAAATAATTTAGATGTATAGTATTAAGTACCACCAGTCAAGGCAATCGCAAGGACTGTTTGATGTTCTCATAGCACCATGTAAGTAAACATCTCCTTGAGGAGAAAGACTGTGCTCTACTGAAATACAATCTACATATAACAAATCTTCTCATAATCATAATATGGAAAGCAAAGCTATCCAGAAATTTTTAAACCTTTAGAAGGTGATAACATTAGTTAAATATTTTATATAACAAATCAAGATACTTTCAGTAGTTATTCCAACAATCAAATGGAAATCAAAAAGTTTTATGTAAACTTACTTTTAAAAAAATAAACCACCACATAATTTGGCTTTAAAGTGTCAAAGTACTTTGTTCAAAGTATTTTACTGAGCACCTGAAAACTAATGTGAAACTACACTTTTGTAAAGAACCAGAGAGTAGATTTGCTCCAATTGTGAAATACTGAATTGTTCAAACACTGCAGAAGGAATTCCTAAAACAAGCTACCGTTTACTTCATTGATATTATTTATTCCAGTAATATCCCTTCCTATAAGGGTGCTATTAAGATCCAATATTCTGTTGCATTTCCAGTATTTCCAGACTAGTTTCAGTATTCCAAAAATTTGTATTTGTGAGAAAATGGTAGGCTTAATCTCGAAAGCGAAAGATCAGGATTAATCTCATTAGTCAGACACTTATTTCCTGGTATTAATCAAAATGGGTAATTCTAAAACCATTAGATTTGAGCTGGCAACAGGCCTTGTGATAATTGTATCAACATAAAAATAGGTTGTGCAACTAGCAGGCCACTTCTGTATTTCAAGCCATTGAATTCTATAGATAAAATATGTTCATGGAAGCATGAGTGTCAGCAACACCATTGTCTCTTAAAACTGAAGTTCCCTAGGAGATTAGACACATGAAAGAATGTCTTGTGAAGAATATAACAGAATCCAATAGGCAAAAAAGTACCGTAAGCTTCAACGCACCTTATGCCCAAAGACAAGCTGTGCTAATTATTTTGGCCCTGCCACTTTCCAAACACCCGCTTCATAACCTGTCATCATGCCAAAATACAATGTTAAAATATTGTACATAAAGTCTTGGGATCGAAAGAGAAGAAATATTTTAATTTCACATTCTTACTATGAATGCATTGGCCTACCAAGTATGAATGTTTATAAAGTCATACCTTTATACAGTATATTATTTATATAATGGCTGAGTATAGACATTCTTATGGTAGATTTAGAATGCAACATAATTTAAAATGTTCAAAATTTTGCAAATTTCAATCAACCAAATTTTTTTTTCAGTTTAAAAACTAGTTATTTATATTTTCACTATATCAGACAGGCAAACAACACCTCTAAATATTTAAAGACAAGTCTCAAAGTAAACTGTACAAGGTTTCCATTTAAAATATTCCCCACTCAAAAGGCACTAAGTGGTTTAAGTGTGCAGGTGACTTCTTGGAAGAAACGGTGTGCAAACAGAGCCTGCTTGACTAGCTCTGCATGCTTTAAGTTTTTGTAATGTTCTACAAAGTATTGCTAGTATACGGTATGTATGATCAGACTTTATAAAGAGCTGAATTCAGTCAGTGCACAGAATCACATATCTCTTTTACTTTCTGATTGAAGTCTTCAGGTTGATCAGCATACACATAATGACCAGCCCCAAGGATAGCCTGGGAGGAGGAAGTAGAAAAAGAGAAGTCAGAATAACAAGAATGTCAACAAATCCTGAAACATTAGGACATGGGAAAAACATACATTAGGAAAAATAAAAATAAATAAATATCCAAACCTTCACACATAATCATGAGTCTGTTATTACATAGTGAGAAGGACATACTGTCCCCCATGTCTGGTCATACTGCAAGTTCCTTTGGTCACCCTGAACAAAAATGCCAGGCCAGGATTTCCAAACAGGTTTTTACACCTAAATCAGAGACTTGATTTTCAAAAGGATTGAGATCAATGGGAGCTGGTAGTTGCTCATTACTTTTGAAAATTTCTAACATTTACTTAAGATGTCTAAATGTGGATGTAGAAGCTTATATAAAACTTTAGGTTCCTTTATTTTAAATCTTGGCGCCAGCTCCTGTACATTACAAGCGCTAATACACCTCTACCCCGATATAACCCGACCCGATATAACCCGAATTCGGATATAACGCAGTAAAACAGCGCTTGGGGGGTGGGGGGCTGCGCACTCCGGCGGATCAAAGCAAGTTCGATATAACGCGGTTTCACCTATAACGCAGTTAGATTTTTTGGCTTCCAAGGACAGCGTTATATTGGGGTAGAGGTGTATTAAAATCAGACAAATCTAACAAGTGTTAGAATGTGCATTAGATGAGAACATCGATTAAAAAACTGACAGCCTATTGCACTCAATCCATATTGATTCAGCTGTGAGACTGGCTTCCAGCATGAGGAGGTAACAAGCAACTGCAAAGGAGGTGTAAACTGGGGGGGGAAATAGGAAGAAAGTTGGTTCCTCAATAGAAAGAGCAATCATTACATGTAAACAAGCTTTACATGTTAAGCTTTCTACCAAAATGCAGCTCCAACTCTCCCCAAAAAATCTGGACAGTGGTTCTTTGGCTCCTTCCCATCTAAACACTTACAGAATGTCTGAATGTTTTTCATCTCTTATGAAACATATGCTCCGGGAAAGACTGAAAGAGCACTACAATAGATGATTAAGAACTGACTGAGGGCTTTAATTGCTGAGGAATCTCTAGACTGTGGCAACAGCTTGTTTGTCATTTCAACCCTCTAAATTAACTGCTATGATAATCAGGGAAAAGTCAAGTCAGATGCTGAAAATCACACCTGCTGGCACCCTCCTGAATAGTTTTTTTTTTTTTTTGGTAAAATTATCTAAGGGCCATTGCAACCACACCTGATATTTCTGTAATTTAGTTCTCTCCATGCCCAGACTGGTAAAGCAGGCCATTTTACAGTACTCTATGGGAAAGGCACCTGAACAATTTCCACTTAATTTTATATTGAAGCCATTATCCTCTTTTGAGCCTCCCTTCCCTGAAATTACAATTCACTTGCACTTCGGAGGGACAATTACTGTTTTGGAATTTCTAACTCTCTAGGAATCGAGACAAGTTATCTTAAGAGAAGAGAAATACTAGGAAGCTACAGAAAGTCACAAAATAAAATTTAATTAGAAATAAAGAGATCTAGTTAGATACTAAAATAAGCATTGCTAGGGAGACACTTTACCAAGAACGGGAATATTACCTACAAGGAGACATTGGAAGAAGCCTCTCTCTCACCCTAAAGGATGCCTTTCAGTGTCCCCGTTTTTCTTTCTGTGTTGCATTTGCCTTTTATAACCCACCTCTTGGCTGACAAAATGTTAACCTGAATTAGAATAGGACATTAAATTAGCTCTCCTGTCCCTCAGAAAACCCAGACCAGATTGGTTATATCTGTTTGAATGACTCATGCATGTCCTACTCTTCTACTCCCCACTTCCTAACTGTAACTTCTGTTATAGGAAGTCTGCTTGTTAAGCAATAACAGATAACTTTTGATAAATATATTTTTATTCACAAACATGTGTCACCATTTCAGGAAGAGGAGAAATGCTCTATAGAAGGATTTGACTTTCCCTATCCTCCTATGCTGTATTGGGCGGTATTTTTGAGTGAATTATAAAATCAGGAAATTAAGAGAGAAAAATCTCATCTTGTCCATACTCCCTTCTCCCTGTACCTACTTCTGATACACGTGCATAGTCATTACCATCTTTTGTTCAACTTAATGACCTACAATATATTATGTCCAGAGCATGTTTGGGCAAGTTACTAGTCAGTCACATCCGGAAGACCACACAGCAGTAATATGATATCCAGCACATTCCAAGATCTGACCAACTCAAAAAAGTAATTCGGACATCCATATTCAACCGTCACAGCTGTCTAGTATGATTTTGAATATGAATGGTAATAGTAAATTTCATTTAGTTCCTTAGAAAAGTGGCCAATGTGTGTGTGTAAATATTAATCTAGGATGTAAGCACACACATCTGAAAGAGTAGCTCTCCTCACATATATAAATAAAGCCACATTGGCTGGAAAGACAAAATTGAAGATTTCTGCAATGATTGAAATGAGGGCACTTCCAAAACTTCAGCAGAAAACAGTTACCACTTATAAAAAATGTACACACTACACAAAATGATTGGAACAATTATCACATTGAAGATTCCTTGATTATGTAATATGTAAATTTAGACTGTAAGTATTTTTTCTTTACAAAATACATTTCATTAGAACACTGAGGAGTTCATACTTTTTTAAGACAGGAAAGATGACCTTATGTTTACGTTCCTGGACTGGAAATTAGGAAGAAATGTGGCTCAGTTCTGAATGCCACAACCAAACTTCCTTTTGACTTGAAACAAGTCACTTACTCTCTCTTGAGCCCCAGTTCCCCCACATGAAAAAAAATGGAGATAAAAAAAGAGTTATTAATCTTTCTGTAACTGTTTGTCTTTGAGATGTGTTGCACATATCCATTCAAATGTAGGTGTGTGTGTGCACCCCAAGCACAGTTATTTGAAATTTTTCCCTTAGTGGTATCCATTGGGTTGGCTCTAACACCCTCTGGTATCAGGTGCTCATAGTGCTGGTATAAGGGGCCCTGCCAGCCCTGCCCTCCTTCAGTTTCTTCTTGCCAACCGCCTCTGAAGAGGGGAGTGAGGGTGGGTTTTGGAATTGACATGTGCAACACATCTCGAAGAACAACAGTTACAGAAAAGTTAGTAACCGTTTTTTCTTTGAGTGCTTGCACATGTCCATTCCAATGTAGGTGACTCACAAACAGTTGTCCCATAGGTGGGTTTGGAGATCAAGTGCAGGCTGACTGTAACACAGCCCAGCCGAAACTGGCATCGCCTCAAGCCTGTTGTGTAATGACATAGTACATTGTGAAGGTATGAACTGATGACCAGATGTCCTGAATTGGAACATGTGCTAAAAAAAGCAGCGGAAGAGGCTTGAGAACTTGTAAAGTGAGCCGTTAAATCAGCTGGGGGCGAAATGTTCGTGAGGGTGTAACATGCCTTGATACACTAAGTGATCCACGATAAGATTCGCTGTTCAGAAATGGGGAGACATTTCATCCTTTCTGCTATTGCTATGAACAGCTGAATGTATCTGCAGAATGGTTTGGTACTTCGTATTGTAGAAGGCCAGGGCACACCCAACATCTAATGAGTGGAGGCGCTGTTCCTCCCTGCTCTCATGTGTTTTAGGGTAGAACACTGGCAGGAAAATTGTTTGACTCCAATGAAAAACTGTGATACAACTTTCAGGACGAATGATAGGTGCAGTCGCAGCTGGGCTGTGTCCTTAAAAAAAGACAGTGTATGGGGGCTCTGAAGTAAGAGCTCATTTCTCTGAAACCTGTCTGACTGAAGCGATGGCCACCAGGAAGGCTACTTTCCAAGAGAGGAGTAACAGTGAGAATGTTGCCAGTGGTTCAAACGGGGGTCCCGTGAGTTTTGACAGGACTAGGTTTAGGTCCCATGGGGAGTGGGATTCCTAACTTGGAGGAATATCATCTCTGGGCCTTTGAGGAACCAGACTACCATGTCATGTGAAAAGATAGAACAGTTGTCGATCTTGGAATGGAAGGCCGAGATGGCCGCTAGATGAACCTTTACTGAGGAAAAGGCTAGTCCTTGCTATCTTAGCGAAAGCAGGTAGTCTAGAATGAGATGCAGACAGAACTACAGAGGCAGGGCCTGTCGTCGTGAACACTAGCTGGAGAACCTCTTCCATTTTGACAGGTAGGTAGCTCTGGTGGAAGGCTTTCTACTGCTCATTAGGACCTTGCGGACTTGCTCTAAGCAAACTTGCTCCTCTGGATTCAGCCATGGAGCTTCCAGTCAGACAGGTGCAGCGACGTGAGGTTTGGGTGCAGCAGTCGACTCCTATCCCAGGATCCTTTAATCAAGGATCCTGGGATATTACATCTGTGTGCGACAGGAATTGCAGGGGTGTCTCTATGGACATGCCTAGCAGGATGAAGAACCAATGCTGCCAGGGCCAGGAGGATAACCCACGCTCAGTCCCGCTTGATCTTCATCAGAAACTTGTAGATCAATGGGATAAAAGTGTGAAGGATAAAAGGAGTGAAAGCATAGTACAGGTGTCTCGTCCATGGTAACAGGAACGCATCTCCGAGAGACCCCAGGCTGTGGCCCCTCAGGGAACAGAACTGATAGTATTTCCTGTTGGATCGGGTGGCAAACAGGTCTATAAGGGGAATCCCCTGCTGTCAGAAGATGTCCCTTACAATGTCTGGATGAAGAGACCATTCGTGGTGAGAGGAGAAAGACCAGCTGAGGCGATCTGCTAGCTGGTTCTGAGTCCCAGGAAGGTAGGCTGCTTCTAGAGTGCGATGCAGAGTACCCACAGGCAGAATGCTTCCTGGTATGGGGGGGAAGAACGTGCACCATCTTACCTGTTTATGTAGAACATAGCCATCGTATTGTCCGTGAGGACTGAAAGAGATTTGCCTGTCAAGTGAGGTAGAAACACCTGGCATGCTAGACATACTGCCCTTAATTCCCTGACATTGATGTGCAGGGAGAGCTCTTCTTGGGACCAAAGGCCTTGGGTTCTGATGGGTCTTAAGTGGGCTGCTCAACAGAGGGTTGATGTGTCACATTCCAGGGACAGGGATGGGTGAGGTCTCGAGAAGGGTACCCCGGCCATACCGTGGGGCTGTCCAGTCAGCATTTGTCCAGTCATGAGATGAGGCTGAGACCATGAGAACTGAGTCCAGGTGATGGTGAGAGAGGGAATAGACCAGGGCTAGCCAGGCTTGCAGGGGTCTGAGTCTTAGCCTTGCGTGCTGCACTACATATGTGCACAATGCCATGTGGCCCAGGAGACGCAGGCACTTTCGTACGGTCGTGATTGGATAGCTTTGGAAAGATCGTATCAGGGATGCAATCACGAGGAACCAGTTGTTTGGAAGCAGAGCCCTCGCTTGCATTGAGTCGAGTTTTGCCCCTATGAACTCTCCCTTTGGACCAGGACAGTTCAACAGAAGGCCCAATACATAGAAAGTTAATTGAAGGAGATGGATGTCGGCCTCTACTTGAGTTCTGGACCAACCCTTGATCAGCCAGTCATCCAGGTATGGAAATATATGGATTCTACTGCCAGACATTTTGTGAAAACTTGCAGAGTGGCCAAAAGGGAGCACTGTGAACTGGAAGTGACTTTGGTTCACTACAAATCTTAAGAAACGTCTGTGACCAGAGAAGATCGAAATGTGGAAGTAAGCGTCCTTTAGATTGAGGGTGAAATACTAATTCCTGGGATCCAGTGAAGAGATGATGGAGACCAAGGAGACCATGCAGAACTTCAGGTTCTTTTAGATCTGCGCAGTCTCAACCGATTTCTAAATGGGTCTGAGACACCCCCACATGGCTTTCGGAATTAGGAAATAGTGGGAATAGAACCCCTTTCCTCTCAAGCGAGAGGGAACTTGTTACACAGCTCCCACCCAAAGGATGGACTGGGCTTCTTGTTCCAACAGGAGCTCATGAGAAGGGTCCCTGAAGAGGAACAGAGAGGAGGGGTGGGAAGGTGGGGGTGGGCAGGAATTGGATGGTGTAACCCAGTTCTGTGGTGCTGAGGACGCATCTGTCTGAAGTAATCTGGGTCCAGGCATCCAGGAAATAGGAAAGCTGGTCGGAAAATGGGGGGGGGGGGCAGTGTAAGCTGGATGCGATGTAGAAGAGATTGTGATGTTAACCTCGATCGTCTCATCAAAAGGAATGCTTTGACAACCTGGGGTGCCTGGGGGCTGACTGAGTAGGGCCTGTTGAGGATGACTGGGGGATGGGGCCTTCACCTAAACCCTCTGTTCCTTCTCTTCTGGTGGCCCTGACAGGCTGTTTGAGGGAAGTAATGGCTTGGCTGCTGCGGCCTGTATTGCTTCCTGGCACCTGCTAATATGCAGAGCCCTGGGGATTTCAAGGTCACATGGGAGTCCTCCGAGAAGAGCGACGATCCCTCAAATGGGAGATCCTGGATGCTCTGGATGTACCTCCTGAGGGAGACCCGAGGATTGAAACCAGGAGCTCCTATGCATTGTCACCGCAGTCACCCTCGATCTGGCTGTGGAGTCAGCGGCATCCAGGGCTGCTTGCAGGGAGGCCCGAGCTAGTGTGTTCCCTTCCTCAATTAGGGAGGAAAACGCCTGTCTGGGGGAGAAGATCCTTGAATTTAATCAAGGATTCCCACATGTTGAAGTTGTAGTGCCCCAACAGGGCCTGCTGGTTTGCTATACAAAGTTGCAGGCCCCCGGATGGGTAAGCCTTACACTCCAAGAGGTCTAGCTTTTTAGGTCCTAGCCTTTGGCACAGAGCTCTGCTGTCCCTGGTGGTCTTGCTCATTGGGTGCCACAACTACCAATGATCCCGGGAGGGATGGGGGTGGAGAAGAGGAACCAACACCCCTTGGCCGGAACAAAGTATTTACGCTCTGATCATTTCGCCATTAGTGGAAGGGAGGCAGGGGTTTACCACAGGGCTTTAATAGAGTCCATGATGGCATTGTGTAGCAGCAGAGCCACTCTGGATGGGCCTGCTTGCGACAGAATATCCAGGAGGCCGTGTGTCACCTCCTTAACCACCTCTGTTTGGACCTCTAGGCTCTGGAGGTGGAGAGACCCCAGAGAAGATGAGGAGGAGGCTAAAGCCTGATGGGGAGCCTCAATTGGTCTCAGTGTCTGCAGGAGCTTGCAGGGCTTCCTCTTGGGGTTTCGTGCAGTGTTTGGTACCAGAGTATCTCTGTGCAGTACCAGGGTGCTCTAGCCTCTGAGATGACCGAATAAGAGCGTCTTGAAAGGTACTTTGAGGTGGGTGAAACCCCCAACGGTTTCAATAAGGCCACTGCATGGTAGTTGGGTCCCCTGGATACGGTGGCCATGCACCCGGAGGCCCTGATTAACCTAGTGCCATGATGGAGTGGAAATGGCCCAGGGAGCAGCGGGGTTGGCTGTTTGGCGGGGGAGTACACTTCTGCCTCCGAGTCTGCTGAGGACTAAGGTGCGCTGCAGAGACCAGGGCGGTGCCATTCCACTGGGTGCCAGAGAAGGCTGCCTAGGGGCCCTTGAGGCTCTCAGCAAGGGTTCCCCCTTGGACATCTGACACAGCTCTGGTTGAGGTGCTGGCGTCGATTCCCTGCTGCTTGGGGGCACTGATGGTGCCAAGTCTTGACCCTCCAGGGAGCCTAGTACTGGCAGAGTTAGAAGATCCTTTGCAGCTGCAAAGGCTTCGGGGGTCGACGGGACAGTAAACTATCCGGTACTGTGATCCTGAGTGGGTGTCGTAGGACGTGCCAATACTGGGACTGTGGGCACCTGGCAATGTGGCACCAGGGATGGAGAGAGGCCCAGCACACGTCTCGCCCTCTCCCGGTCTCTTTTGTCCTTCTGCACCAGAGACCGGCTCTTCTCCTGGCACTGGCGAAGATGATTGGTGCCGAGTCTCAGCACAGCTCTGAATCTGTTCTTAAGCTGCCTCCATAAGGAGGACATTCGAAAGAGCAGTCCTTCTGGGTCCGGGGCTTGAACTCTTTACAAATTTGGAAACGGTCTTTCCTATGAGCTACCCCTAAGCACGTCAGACAGCTAGAGTGTGGGTCGCTCAAAGCCACAGACTTCCTGCATGATGCACAAGGCTTAAACCCCAGCACTGGGACAAATGACAACTTTGCTATCTAAGAGCAGAGTCGTCCAATCTATGTAAAAACTAACTACTAAAAAGTATGAGGATTATTTACACTAAAAGGTTAGGAAAGAGAGGAGATTGCCTAAGCAACGAGAGATTTCAGCAACCGTCACGGGCGGTAAGAAGGAACTGAAGCAGGGTAGAGCCCCTTATCCTGGTGCTATGAGTGTGCGACACCAGAGGGTGCTAGAGCCGACCCAACAGATACCACCAAGGGAAAGATTTCTGGCAACTTTGCTTGGGGCGTGCACACACCTACTTTGGAATGAACACGTGCAAGCACTCAAAGAATACTTATCTTCTCCCACCCTTTTTCTGGTATAGAAATCAGATCAGATATCCTATCCAGAGTTTTAAATTGTAAGACTACCATTCCAGGGCTGGCACCAAATAGGATGAAGAATGGATACAATCTACACAAACCCATAAAAAGAAAAAACAAGGGCTAGAAAAATTCACCTACTATTGTCTTTACGTATGAATTTGGTCGCAGAGACTGGATGGTACTACCAGAATTGCCGTCTATACAAGAACGTGCTCCATAAATCACAGTGATCGGAATATCTTGATGCATGTGAGCAATCCGCTGTAACATTGGCCTTTTTGCCCATCCATAAGGAACAGTCATGTTCTTGAAAGCAGTTTCACCACTTAAAATGTCAAATGAAATAAGTGCAAAGTAACACACATTAGAAACAATAAACTCAACTATACATACAAAATTATGGAGTCTAAATTAGCTGTTACCACTCAAGAAAGATCTCAAGTCATCGTGGAGAGTTCTCTGAAAATCATCTGCTCAATGTGAAGTAGCAGTGAAAAAAGCTAACAGAATGTTAGCAACCATTAGGAAAGGGATAGATAATAAAACAGAAAATATCGTAATGCCACTATATAAATCTATGGCACACCCACACTTGGAATACTGCATGTAGGTCATGGTAGTCTTATCTGAAAAAATATAATAGAATTGGAAACGGTACAAGAGAAGGACAACAAAATGATTAGGGGCATGGAACAGCTTCCATATGAGGAGAAATTAAAAAGACTGGGACTGCTCCACTTTAAAAAGAGATGACTTGGGGGGGCAGAGGGGAGGGAGATATATGATAGAGATCTATAAAATCATGAGTGGTGTGGAGAAAATGAATAGAGAAGTGTTACTTACCCCTTTACATAACACAACAACCAGGGGTCACCAAATGAAATTAACAGGCAGCAGGTTTAAAACAAACATAAGGAAGTACTTCTTCACTCATGCACATTGAACCCATGGAACTCATTGCTAGGGGATGTTGTGAAGGCCAAAAGTATAACCAGTGTTGTTGCCAACTTAGCTACTTTGTCACTAGATTTAGCGACTTTTTAGTTTCCCTAGCTAGAAAATAAGTTTCAAAGTGACCAGTGACAAATCTAGTGACTTTCACTGCCAATTACAGTGACATTCAAAGAAGTCACCAATATGTATAGTCACAAAATCATTCACAAGCAGCTCAATAGTGTTAATAAAATCCAATCCATGCTATTATTATTATTATTATTATTTTTTTACAGATTTAAAAATTTTATTAAAGCTAATGTTAAAATTATGTAATACATCGGTTATGAAAGAGTGTCTGTACATCTGGGTATAATGCTTAAATTATCAAAAAGTACAAATGTTGGTTTAAAAGTAATACAATATATATAGTACATAATCAGCAATAACCCAAATAAGATTAATAAATTTAACTACTACATTCTGTTGCACACCAAGTCAATGTTATTATGTCTCAATTGAGCATGTCCTCGGAGGGAATCGCATTCCAGGGCTTCTTGGGCTGAGATCACTATAATCTGCAGGTGAGGAAACAAAGTTTGTGGAGGTTAATTAAATAATTTGCTAAAGCCAGGCACACTTTGGAGAGAGCAGCCCATTAGCCAGACTTGTTTTTACCCAAATGTGTTCTTTGTTGCTGCTCTGTAGTAGGTAGCACATCCCAGGTCAGCTGGGGTTGATTAATTTCAGCTAAGTCTCCCTTTCTTGCCAGCCTGGATTTGAGTTGACAGGTTAATGAAAGGAAGAGCCCAGAGCCAGGGGGAAGAGGCATTCACCTGACCTGAGCTTGATGCTTCAGGGAGCCAAGAAAGTAGATTTAAAAACAAAAATCTGTTAGCCGGACCCCTTCCCAATCCCGCCGCTTCCAGGGTTTGATTTTTGAAAACAGCTGGGCTGCTAACCCCAGGCCAAGCCAGGGAAGGAGTAACGGGGAGCCGAAATCAAGCAAGCTCCACCTTCGATCCTGTAGTAAGAGCTTCATCCCTGGAGGCACGGTGCCCCCCGCCCTATTGGGGCACATGGTCCTGTCTCATCCCACCCCACCTTCCATCCGTGTGGCTTTCCTCACTGGCTAACCTGCCTCCCGCGCCCTGCCCGCTTTATTAGCGATCTTCCCCTGCATCACAGGGTGCACTACCTACTACGGAGCAGCGAGAAAGAATACATTTGGGTAAAAACAAGCCCTGGCTAATGGGCTGCTCTCTCCAAATTGTGCCTGGTTTTAGCAAAATATTTAATTAGCTTCCATAAACTTCTTTTCCTCACCTGCAGATTATAGTGATCTCAGCCCAAACAGCCCTGGAATGCGATTCCTTCCGATGACATGCTCAACTGAGACATAATGACACTGACTTGGTGTGCAACACTATTGAGCTGCTAGTGAATGATTTTGTGACTGTACTCGCGCCTGAGCACACATTTTTAATATAAACACACACACACACACACACACACCCCCACAATCAATTCTCTGGAAATTTTATTTAGTGACATTTTTGACTCCTTTTGAGTGCTTAAACAGCTACATCCAGCGTCTTTTCAGGGTCTGTCTGGTGACTTCCTGCTATGTGAAGTTGGCAATATGAGATTCTGGGTTCAAAATGAATTAGGTAAGTTCATGGAGGATAGGTTCATTAATGGCTATTAGCCAAGATGGTCAGAGATGCAACCCCATCTCTGGATGTCCCTAAACCTCTGACTGGGTGGGCCTATACAACAGGGGATGGATCATTCAAAATTGCCCTGTTCTGGTCATTCCCTTTGAAGCATCTGATACTGGCCACTGTTGGAAGACAGGATACTAGGCTAGATAGACCATTGGTCTGACCCAGTGGGGGCATTCTTATAAGAACATCCTTTCGATTGAAACTTAGCTCCCAAGTGTTCAGCCAAAGTTAAAAAAAAAAAAAAAAAAAAAAAAAAGAGAGAGAGAGAGAGAGAG